TTTGAAAGAAAGAAAGAAAGAAAGAATCTAAAGGAGACTACTATCACTCAATCTCCTTGCAGTCAGAATCTGTGAACAATCATACCATCATACTCATGCATCGCCCTCGAAAATGAAAATGTCTGCAATGATCCACAAACATTCAATCAAAACACAAATCAACAGAGGAAATATCAGACTACATTACCAGCTGGGCTCGTCTCTGGTGTGACTGTTGTATGAGTGCTGCTGATGTTAGTAACAGCTGAAAAAAATAATGACTGATGAATATCAATGAATCAGCAATCACACAAATAAAACAAAGAGTTTGTGTGAATATAATTACCTGCACAGTATGCTGAATAGCAGAAAGTTGGTCTAACCAGCTCATAGACATAATAATTGCCTGGACAGGCTTTGACTTTAATGGGAAAAGACCAGAAAAAGCAGCAGTAATTGTGCCAGTGACCGCAGACATCTCGAGTGACGACTCCATCTTCAACTGTTGGGTGTCCACCACGAATCCACAGTGGGGCAGCAGTGCCACAGCTATACTGAGCAACACACGTGTCTGGGATGTGAGCGCTCATGTTGTTAATGAAGAGACGATACCAGCTGCTCGAGGTGAGATCACTGTCACACTTGTAGGAGCTTGATAGGCGACTGCTGTTGGCTCTCCATGGATCGTCCAGCACAGTGTAGTTGGAGCAGGGGTCAATGGAAGAATAAACTGCAAAAAATAAATAATAATAATAATCCCATAAAAATCTGTATTTTTCTGGCATTAGGGAAAAAAATTATGTTAAATAGAACAGTACTGTTGAATTAAAAGCATAGATAATCTGAATTTAAAAAAATGACAATGAAAACAGTAATTTCATTGTAAATTGCCTTAAACAATAAAGAAAACCAAACAACAACTAATATTTATGCTGTGTTAATAACGTGATTACAGTATCACTGTCAACTTCATTTGAGTCAACTAAACAAAGAATATTTCTGTACATAAAATTAATCTAAACACTACTTTGTGTATCTGAAACTCTTAGGCTTAGGGTTTCAGAATCTGGCAGTAAGTTTTGGGAGTTCATTTTTAGTCCATCTTCTATCCTAAAAGGTATGTCTTGCAGAGATTGACTAAAAATGAGCTCCTAAAACTTACTGCCAGATTCTGGAAGATAAATTCTTCAAACAGTGGTATAAGAGGATGTGGTGCTGGACCTTCAAGAGTCACTCTCAACTTATCTGTCTATAAAGCCTATAAAAATTAGTCTTTGTGTATTTCACAACACTTCAGCATGTTATTCTTATTAAGGGAAGGTCATTTTTTAGGATATTTTTACCCAAGCAAAATCTCTGAGAACCTGACACCTTGCACTTCTGGAGACTCCAGGAAGGTTGCAGTTCTGGAAAATGGTGGAACTGGAGACTAAATGGTTCCTGATGGTTTTACGCCTAATTCTTCACATTAATTCTTAATTATTTTGCAGTTAACATGCATCTTTTCTTCTCCACCTGTTTTTTTCTGACCCTGCTGACCCAATGAGCATTTTGCTGTCCAATGGTCATGTCTTAACTTTTCAATTTCTGTATTGCATTAGTTTTGAATATTTCTCATGGGCACTTAATACTTTTTGACTTTTCAGTCTGAGTTAAATCTCTTTTTTGGCTCATTTTATCTGTAAAAGAAAACATGCCTAATA